ATCTCTATGTTCTTTCTAATATTTCTTTTTTTTTTTTTTGAGACGGAGTCTCACTATGTCGCCCAGGCTGGAGTGCAGTGGTGCAATCTTGGCTCACTGCAAGCTCCGCCTCCTGGGTTCACGCCATTCTCCTGCCTCAGCCTCCAAAGTAGCTGGGACTACAGACGCCGCCACCTCGCCCGGCTAGTTTTTTTTTTTTTGTATTTTTCAGTAGAGACGGGGTTTCACCGTGTTAGCCAGGATGGTCTCGATCTCCTGACCTCGTGATCTGCCCATCTCGGCCTCCCAAAGTGCTGGGATTACAGGCTTGAGCCACCGCGCCCGGCCCCAGCAATATTTCTTTACTCATGTGATCTTTATGTTTCATTCATAATTTTAATTATAATGTTTCTAAGTTTATGTTTTGACTCAAGTAGTGATCATTACAGGCTGTCTTTGGGAATGCAGAATTTTAGTTTCACAGATCCTAAATATTGGATTGTTTTTATACATTTGATGATTTGACACCCTACATAGAATGGTTTTTTAAGGTACTAGCAAATAATATATGAAGGGAAAAGAAAGCATTCTTCCTGCAGCATCTCGAATATAAAGATTTTGTTATTTAGTATTAGATTCTAAAAATTATTTTGTATCCTCTGATTTCTTATAGATAAAACTATGCCTACTAAAAAACAATGAAAATACTTTTTCAGAATATAAACACTATATATAATATTTGAAAATGTTACAATCCATAAAAGTTAGAAGAAAATAATAATTAGTGCTTGATCTCACTATTCAAAGACACACCACTTTAATTTGGTGAGCCTCCTTTTAGTTTTTCATAGAGCTGTGATGCATGCTTAATGCATAATTGCGCATGTTGCTGCCTCCTCCTCCCAGCTTCCTGACGTGTCGTCTCAGGTCATCAGAAACTTCCAAAAGAAACAGCAATTTCTTTTTTTTTTTTTTTTTTCCTTTGAGACTGGGTCTCACTTTGTCACCCAGGCTGGAGTGCAGTGGCACAATCACGGCTCACTGCAGCCTTGACCTCCCAGGCTCAAACGATTTGTCTACCTCAGCCTCTTATAAACAGCATTTTTATGGCTGTCTAATAACCCATCATATGAATATGGCTTAGACTGCCCAACTACAGCCTAATTTGGGGTTTTTATGTTTTCTTCTGTTCTTTGCCCATATAATGTGGCAGTGAATATATGTGGATAAAACACTCTTCCCACACTTTGGCTTATTTCATTTCAAGCTTCTAAAAGTGAAATTAATGAGTCAGAAGGCATGACTATAAGGCTTTTTGTCAAATCGATTTCCTAAAGGGCAATTCATTATACTTTTTCACCGGCATTGAGGTCAAGTGTCCTGGGAGTAGGAGTGTTGAACATGTAGAAAGTCACTTCAGTTCTGGAATTTATCTTGCTTTGCTTTGTTTTGTTATGCTTTTTTGTCCTCTCCTGATGCTCACCTAGGGTCACACATTGCCTCTGGTTGTCATATGTCTTTCGTCTCTTTCAATCTAGAGCAGGGGTTCTCAATTAGGGAGTGGGCATTGTCTCCTAGAGGACATTTGGAAATGTCTGGAGATAGTTTTGATTGTCACAACCAAGGGGGTGGCTACTGGCATCTAGTGATTAGAGGCCAAGCATGCTGCTAAACTTCTCACAGTACACAGGGTGTTCCCTTGCAGCATAAATGTATCTGGCCCAAGACGTAAGCAGCTGAAAAGCCCCGATCTAGAACAGTCCTTTCACTTCCAGCCTGGGCGACAGAGCGAGACTCCATCTCAAAAAAAATAAAAGAAAATTGAAGTCAAAGTCATATAACATAGAATTAACCATTTTAAAGTATAAAATTTACTGCCTTTGGCCAGGCGTGGTGGCTTATGCCTGTAATCCCAGCACTTTGGGAGGCCAAGGAGGGCGGATCACGAGGTCAGGAGATCAAGACCATCCTGGCTAACACGGTGAAACCCCGTCTCTACTAAAAATACAAAAAATTAGCCGGGCGTGGTGGTGCGCGCCTGTAGTCCCAGCTACTCAGAGGCTGAGGCAGGAGAATGGCGTGAACCGGGGAGGCGGAGCTTGCAGCGAGCCAAGATCGCGCCACTGCACTCCAGCCTGGGCGACAAAGTGAGAGTCCGTCTCAAAAAAAAAAATTTACTGCCTTTCAGTATGTTCACAGTTTTGTGCAGTTACCATTTCTTTCTAGTTTCAAAACTTCTCATTACCCCAGAAGAACACTCTGCACCCATTAAGTAGTTTCCCCATGCCCCCTTCCCCCAACCCCTGGCAACCACTCATCTCCATTCTCTTTCTGTGGATGTTTGCCTACTCTGGACATTTCATATAAATGGAATCATATAATGTGGGCTTTTGTATCGGGCTTCTTTCTCTGAGCATGTTTTGAGGTTCATCCATGGGATAGCACGTGTCAGTACTTCATTGCTTTTGATGGCTGGATAATATTTCATTGTCAGCATTTGATAGGAATTTGGGTTGTTTCCACTTTTGGCTGTGCTGCTCCGTACATTCATGTATGAGTTTCTGTGTGGATAGATGGTTCATTTCTCATGGTCTATACCTGGGATCAGAATTGCTGGGTCTTTTGGTGTATGTTTAACTTTTTGAGGAACTGCCAGCCTTTTCTCACAGCAGCTGCACCATTTTATATTCCCACCAGTAGTGTACAAAGGTTCCAGTTTCTCCACATCCTCATCAACACTTATTTTCTACTTTTTTATTGTAGTCAGCCCAGTGGGCATAAAGTGGCATCTCATTGTTATTTTGATAAACATTTCCCTAATGACTACTGACTTCATTTGTATATCTTCTTTGGAGAAATATCTATTGAAATCCTTTGCCCGTTTTTGAACGAGGTTTGTCTTTTTATTGTTGAATTATAAAAGTTCTTTATATATTTTGCCATATATATAATTGTGTATATATATATAATTTATTTTATTTTATTTTATTTTTTTGAGACAGGGCCTCGCTCTCTTACCCAGGCTGGAGTGCAGTGGTGCAGTTGTGGCTCACTGGAGCCTTGACCTCCCGAGCTCAAGTGATCCTCTCACCTCAGCCCCCCCAAGTAGCTGGGACTACTGGCATGCACCACCATGCCTTGCTAACTTTTGTATTTTTTGTAGAGACAGGGTTTCGCCATGTTACTGAGGCTGGTCTCAAACTTCTGAGCTCAGGCAGGCAATCTGTCCGGCTCAGGCAGGCAATCTGTCTGCCTCAGCCTCCCAAAGTGCTGGAATTACAGGCATGAGCCACCATGCCCAGCCTACTTTATATATTTTGGACACTAGACTCTTACTGGATACATGATATGCAAATATTTTCTGCCATTCTATAGGTTATTTTTTTACTTTTTTATATTTATTTATTTATTTATTTTGAGATGGTGTCTTGCTCTGTTGCTCAGGCTGGAATGCAATGGCACGTCTCCTCTCACTGCAACCTCCACCTCCTGGGTTTAAGCGATTTTCCTGCTTCAGCCTCCCAAGTAGCTGGGATTACAGGTGCACGCCACCATGCCTGGCTAATTTTTGTATTTTTAGTAGAGACAGGGGTTTCACCATGTCGGCCAGGCTGGTCTCAAACTCTTGACCTCGTGATCTGCCCACCTCGGCCTCCCAAAGTGCTGGGATTGTAGCCATGAGCCACCGTGCCCAGACCTCTTTTTTATTTATTTTTTATTGAGACAGGATCTCACTGTGTCACTCAGGCTGGAGTGCAATAGCATGATCATTGCTAAGTGCAGCCTTGGAACCTCCCAGGCTCAAGTGACCCTCTTGCCTCAGCCTTCTGAGTAGCTGTGACTACAGGTGCACACCACCATGCCTGGGTAATTAAAAAAAGAAATTTATAGAGATGGGGTCTCACTGTGTTGCCCAGGATGGTCTTGAACTCCTGAGCCCAAGCAATCCTGTCTCCTCAGCCTCCCAAAGTGCTGGAATTATAGGTGCGAGTCACCACGCCCAGCCACAAAAGATTTTAATTTTGATTAAGTCCAATTTATATTTTTGTTGCTTTTCGGTATAATACCTAAGAATTCTATTTTCTTTCTTTCCTTTTTTTTTTTTTTCTTTTTTCTTTTTTTTTGAGACAAGGTCTTGCCATGTTGCCCAGGCTAGGCTGCAGTGGCATGATCTTGGCTCACTGCAACCCCCGCCTCCCAGGCTCGAGTGATCCTCCCACTTCAGCCCTCTGAGTAGCTGGGACTACAGGCATGTGCCACCACCAAACCTGGCTAATTTCTGTATTTTTTTTGTAGAGATGGTGTTTCACTGTGTTGCCCAGGCTGGTCTCAAACTCCTGGGCTCAAGAGATCCACCCAGCTCGGCCTCCCAAAGTGCTGGGATTACAGGTGTGAGCCACCGCTCCTGGCCAAGAATCCTATTTTCTTAAATTTCTTTCAGTGATGATTTGTAGTTTTCACAAGTCCTTGGTTAAATTTATTCCTAGTATTTTATTCTTTTGCCTCCTTTTGTAAATGGAATTGCTTTCTGAATTCCCTCTTTTGATTGTTCAATGCTGCTGTGTAGCAACTGATTTTGTCTGTTGATTTTGTACTTGGCAACTTGACTGAATTCGTATTTTAACTTCGGTGGGTGTATTTGTGGATTCTTGGGGATTTTCAGTAGGTAGGATCATGTCATCTGCTAATAGAGATAGTTTTACTTTTCCTTTCTGATCTGGATGCCTTTCATTTTGTTTTCTTGCCTAATTACCCTTGCTAGCATATCCAGTATCATGGTGGATGGCAGTGGTGCAGCAGGCATCCTTGTCTTGTTCCTGATCTTAGAGGAAAGCTTTTGACCCTGGGCCATAAAGTATCAAGTCAGCTGTGGGTTTTTGTAGTTGCCCTTTATCAGATTGAGGAAATTCCCTTCTATTCCTAGTTGGTTGAATGTTTTTATCTTGAGATATTAACTTATTTAAAATTTTGCTTTACTTTTTAATATAAAAACTTTGGTGTGTGTGTTTTATTCCAACCAGTGCTGATTCCTAAAGAAAAGCCCCCAATCACAGTTGTGGGTGATGTTGGAGGAAGGATTGCCATCATCGTGGTATGTAGACCTCTTTTATTATTAATTCTAGTATTTGCCGTTGTTATTCTGTTGATTGATTGATTACTTGATTGATTGATTTTGTGACAGTCTCGCTGTCACCCAGGCTGGATTGCAGTGGTGCGTTCTCGGCTCACTGCAACTTCTGCCTCCCAGGTTCAAACGATTCTCTTACGTCAGCCTCCCAAGTTGCTGGAATTACAGGTGCCTGCCACCATGCTTGGCTAATTTTTGTATTTTTAGTAGAGATAGGGTTTCACCATGTTGGCCAGGCTGGTCTCGAGCTCCTGACCTTGTGATCCGCCCGCCTTGGCCTCCCAAAGTGCTGGGATTACAGGCATGAGCCACTGCACCTGGCCGCCATTGCATTTAAAAAAAAAAAAAAATTTTATTTTGAAGTAATTATAGATCCACAGGAAGTACGGGGAAATACACAGGGACCTCCTGTGTATTCATTGCCCAGCATCCTCCATCTTGCTTAACTATGGTACAGTAACACAGCCTGGAAATTCTCAGTGCCACAGCCACAGAGGCCCTTCAGACAGCACCAGTTGTGCATGCAGTGTATGTGTGTGTGTGTGTGTGTGTGTGTGTGTGTGTGTGTGTGTGTGCGCGCGCGCGCGTGCAGTCTTATCATGGGTAGCTTTGTGGAACCACCACCACAGTCAGGACACAGAATTGCTCCTTCACTGCAGGGCACCCTCATGCTTCCCTTCATAGCTACACCCACATCCTTCCCACCCAATCTGCAACCCCTGGTGTCTTTGTCCATTTTGTGCTGCTGTAACATGTAAGACTAGGTTTTTTATACAGAATAGAAGAAATTTATTCTCTAACAGCTCTAGAGGCTGGATGTCCAAATCATGGCACCAGCATTTGGTCTGGTGAGGGCCTTCTTGCTGCGTCCTCACATGGCAGAAGGCAGAAGGACAAAAAGGAATGAACTTGTCTTCAGGAGGGCAGGAAAGAGGCGAACCCAGTCCCACAAGCCTTTTTATAGCGACATGAATCCATTCCTCACGGCAGAGCCCTCACAACCTGAACACTTCCCCAAAGACCCCACCTCCCAACACTGTTGCACTGGGGAATAAGTTTCCAACACATGAATTTTGGAGAGACAAAAACATACAAGCCATAGCACTGGCAACCCATGATCTGTCCTCTGTATTTCTAATTATTATTTCAAGAATGTCATATAAATGGAATCTATGGTTTATAACCTTTTGAGTTTTGGTTAACCTGCCATGATTACCCTGAGATCCATCCAGTTTGTTTTGTATATAAATATTTTATTCCTTCTTATTGCTGGGCAGTATCCCATGACATAGAGGTACCAGAGTTTATTTGTTGAAGGACATTTGGATGATTTCCAGGTTGGAGCTATTATATATAAAACTCACTATGTACATTCATGTATGGGTTTTTGTGTGAACAGAGTTTTGATTTCTCTGGGGTAATTGCACTTATAAATGCAGTTGTTGGTTTGCATGGTAGTTGCAAATATAGTCTTATAAGAGACTGTCAAACTGTTTGCCAAGGTGGCTGTACCATTTTACTAGTAGTACTTTTTAAGCTTGTGTGTGTGTGTGTGTGTGTGTGTGTGTGTGTGTGTATTTTTGAGGGGGTATGGTCTGGGTCTGCTGCCCAGATTGGAGTGCAATGGCTTGATCACAGCTCACTGCAACTTCCACCCCATGGGCTCAAGCAATCCTCCTGCCTCAGCCTCCCAAGTAGCTAGGACTACAGGTGCGTACCACCATGCCTGGCTAGTTTTTGTTTTTGTAGAGACTGGGTTTCGCCATGTTGCTCAGGCTGGTCTTGAACGCTTGAGCTCAAGCAATCCTCCCACCTCAGCCTCCCAAAGTGCTGAGACTACAGGTGTGAGCCATCACGCCTAGCCTTTATATGTATATTTTTGATCATAGTAACTTCAGTATGCAATAAAAGAGTAGAAACCACTGAACTGGATATTTTATTATTAAAAATAATCATTATTATTTTTTCCATTATAATAACATGTAAAAAACATATTTCCCATATGCTCAGTGGAGAAAATTTGGAAATAAGGAAGGTAGCAAGAAGCAGCAAGGGGAAAGAGGCAACCATAATTCTATTACCCAGAGTCGAAAACATCTTTTAACACTTTTTCTGTGCATTAAAAACAAAAAAAGAAAATCATACCTCCATCATTTCTGGTGCGATCTGCATTGTGACAGCACAGTGTTGGCCAGTTATGGTTCAGAAGACAGTGCTACCCCTGGGAGCCTGGAGTGTGGTGGGAGATAGGCCGAATAGTGAGTGGCAGGTGCTGTGCAGGAGGAGGCTCGTGTGAAAGTCCTGGAGGGATGCCATGGGGCACGGTGATGGGGACGTGGGGCTGTGCTGTCTGCACAAGGCCAAATGGAAGAGCAGATTTTTCGCAATAAATGTAGGCAGACCCTTTTTTTTCCCTGGTTGTCTAACCTATTATTGTAGAAGTGCTCATATACATTCTTTTCCATCTGTGCTTTGACAGGATGACATCATTGATGACGTCGACAGCTTTCTTGCTGCAGCAGAGACCCTGAAGGAAAGAGGTGCATATAAGATCTTTGTGATGGCAACTCATGGCTTGTTGTCTTCTGACGCCCCCCGGCTGATTGAAGAGTCTGCCATTGATGAGGTAACAGGGTTTGGGTGTGTTCGTGAGGACAGCTGCCTGGGCTTCTGGCACATCATGATCTTTAGTTACAGAGAGTAGGGACAAGACTGAGATTGTGGTTAAGAAAGGAATCAAGGGCTGGACATGGTGGTTTATGCCTGTAATCCCAGCACTTTGGGAGGCTGAGACAGGCGGATTACCTGAGGTCAGGAGCCGGAGACTAGCCAACAGGGGGAAATCCCCTCTCTACTAAAAATACAAAAATTAGCCTTGCATGGTGGCGGGCACCTGTAATCCCAGCTACTTGGGAGGCTGAGGCAAGAGAATCGCTTGAACCCAGGGGGCAGTGGCTGCAGTGAGCCGAGATTGTGCCACTGCACTCTAGCCTGGACAACAGAATGAGACTCTGTCTCAAAGTAAATAAATAAATAAATAAATAAATAATAATAGTAATGTATACAACTCATTAGTTTTTAGAATGCTTGGAGTTGTGCAGTCATTACCATAGTTGATTTTAGAACATTTTCTTCTCCCTAGAGAGGAACACCATACCCATTAGCAGTCACTTCACATTTTCTCTCACTGCCGTTAGTCCCTGGCAACCACTAATCTGCTTTCTGTCGCTCTAGATTTGCCTGTTCTGGACATTTCTTATTAATGAGCTTACACAGTGTGTGGTCTTTTGTGCTGGCTTCCTTCACTCAACATAATATTTTCAAGGTTCATCCATGTTGTAGCATGAATCAGTACTTCATTCCATTTTATGATCAAAGAATACTCTGTTGCATGGATAGTCCACATTTTGTCTCTCTCTTCATATTTCACGTCGATAGAAATTTTTTCCGCTTTTTAACTTATGCATGGTGCTGCAGTAAACATTTGTGTACAGGTTTTTGTGTAGACATCTGTTTTCCCTTCTCTTGGATGCGTACCTAGGTTTAGTACTGCTGGGTCGTACAGTAACTTCATGTTGAAACTTTCAAGGAGCTGCCAGACTGTTTTTCAAAGCAGCCGCACCATTTTACATTCCTACAGCAGTGAGTGGGGGGTTCCAGTTTCTCTGCACGCCTCCAATACTTGTTATTATCTTTTTTTGCCATACCTGTCCTAGTGGGTGTGAGGTTATCAAATTTTAACCTAAGAAACACAGGCTGGGTGCAGTGGCTCACGCTTGTAATCCCAGCACTTTGGGAGGCTGAGGCGGGTGGATCATGAGGTCAGGAGATCGAGACCATCCTGGCGAACATGGTAAAACCCTGTCTCTATTCAAAACACAAAAAAATTAGCTGGGCATGGTGGCGGGCGCCTGTAGTCCCAGCTACTTGGGAGGCCGAGGCAGGAGAATGGCATGAACCTGGGAGGCGGAGCTTGCAGTGAGCCGAGATGGCGTCACTGCACTCCAGCCTGGGTGACAGAGCGAGACTCCATCTAAAAAAAAAAATTGAAACATTGACTTGAGACATAGATCCACTGTTTTCCCGTCATGGCGAGCCTCAGATTTGAGAAGCTATCACATTTCCAGACTAAACCATGAAGCTACTTGGCTTTCTGATGCTCTGGTTTTTTTTCTCTTGCTTCACAGGTAGTGGTCACTAATACAATTCCACATGAAGTCCAGAAGCTCCAGTGCCCCAAGATTAAAACCGTGGATATCAGCATGATCCTTTCAGAGGCGATCCGTCGGATCCACAATGGGGAGTCCATGTCCTACCTTTTCAGAAACATAGGCTTAGATGACTGAACAGCTTTCCTTTAGGAAAACTCCCGAGGGCCAAACTGGAAACATAAGAGTGACTGCTTGGTGGGATAGATTTCACAGGAACCATCACGTTTGTTCCTCCCTCTCCCCTGTAACCTCTCTTCTTGTTGATTCCTATGAAGATAGACCAACTTTTTATGTCGGTTTAGGTGTTCGTGAGTTTGGGGAGCCATTTTTATAAAAGAAAAACTTTATTCTCCTCTTTTGAAAAGGTAAGACCTTGTTTTAGTTTTAACTGTTTAAAAAATAACACTTGGAATAAGATTTGTAAGCTCACAAAGTCTTTTTCTGAAGTTGCTTGAGCCAAGTGCTTAAAAAGTTAATAAAATAAAATGATCTGTATGAAACCTGCAGTTGAAAAGCCAAAAAGATTATACTGTCAAGTCCAGTAAATGACATTTTTAGAGATGCTTTTGTAGACAAGCATATGGAATATGTGATTGTATTTATTTTCCGCAACTAAAAAAGGAAGAAAAACTTGTGTTTGTGTGTTTTTCTAAAACTTTGTGTTTTGGCAATCGTTTTATAACTAAAATAAAATGAAAACTGAATCTACACACTGTGAATGTTGAAATGTTTATCAGCTTGTTTTCTCTTCTGCAGCATTGTGCGGGGATGCAGTAGCCTCCCAGAGATGTGTCATATTCTCTGTTCTGACAATTTGTCCAAGGCCCTGAAAGTTCCCGACGTGTTGTCATTTGACTGAGGAGGGAGAGGAGTTGGAATCTCAGGATGCAAGGCCGCAGGCAGCAGGGGAACCAGTGAGCACCATCTGCCATTGGTCTTGGTGTGGCTTTGCCTCTCTTCCACGGCTGGCTGTTCTCTGTCATGCTCTAGGGAGATGAGATGCTGGGAGATGCGTCCCAAAGGGCAAGTGACATGACCCTTGTTGCTATCAAGGGTCTAAATATCATCTGTCTTTAGCGTTTAGGACCCTGAACTTCCCCACAGAGTCCATTGGACTCTCCTCCCGTGGAGCACTGGCACTGGGGTTTACACCCACCTGTCCTCCCACTCAGCCTGACTTACGAAGGAAAATGTAGACTTGCTCATAAAAACTAATTTTTCTTCCTCCCCAAACACCTTAAACCTTTGCTTTCTGCTTTTCTTGTTAGAATCTGGAATAAAACAGTAGTTTATTTAGCACAAAATTAAGATCAGTCACCAGCCATGCTGGCCTTCCCTGTGCTCCACAGACAGCAGCGTAGCCCGTGGGCTTGCCCCAGTAGGCCAGGGCCTTGTTTGTGCAGAAGCACCAAGGGCTCTGCTTCTGGAAGCTGCCCAAGTATTCCATGGGCTCCTGCACCCCCAGCAGTGCCACCCTCACACCTAGTTTACTTCTGAGGAAACAGCTTTGGGGGAAAGGCGTTCTCTTCCCACGTTTTCAAATCCAGTTAATGATAGAGCTATTTACTTTGAAAAAGTGTCCTTGCTTTCTGTGAACCTGTTCCTAGAAATGGGGCCTCTCGATCTTCGGAATGAATTGGCTTAGGCCATGGGATGGGAGCTGGCGGCTTCTTTGCCAGGGCAGCTCTGTCCGTTGCAGGCTGGAGACCACCCAGTTTCTACATTTGGAAGAAGAGCTTTGGGAGCAAGGTGTCACCACCCATGAGATTGGAGCCTGCCTGTGGTGCCGGGACCTCCCACTGTTGCTGTGAAATGAGCTGAAGAGGCTTCAGTAAGTCTCACAGCTCCAGCCTCTGCTGGGTTTGGGTTTTTTCCTACCTTCTGCTCTTTGGATGCTATCTAACCATTCGCTACTATAGATGACGGTTGAAGTCACCATGTGGTTTGGCTTTATAGCAAGTGACAGGCACTTCCTGAACAGCCATGGGGCGCCCCCTGGGGTGGCTGTGCTGACACAGTGGCCCTCCATGGTTTGGGAATGGCGGTGCCGCACTAGCAGGGAGGACGGGTTCTGCTCCGGGTTCCTTGGAGATGCAGTGGACTCTCAAGCTCCTTCAGTGGGAGGTTTCCTCCTGCCACTGTGTCCAGGGAACTTTGACCTCCGTGGTTTTTCCTGGCATGTCATCCTTCATGAAGAAAAGTCATATTTACAGAAGTGAATGGAAACATGTTTTATGGGAGTGTTTTCCTCTGGGTAATGAACTTGGCTAAAGCTAGGATCCTTCACACCCACAGAGACTCGAAGGTCTGCTCTGAGTTAGCTCTGGAAGAACGTGAAGATGAGTGCCGGGAGGAGCCACGGGCAGGGCATGTGCCAGGGGATGGCTGACAGAGGGCTGAGGCCAGGAAAGACAATTGGCAGATGATGGTGGGGGAGAGTGGAGTGCCACGTCCTGGTCCGCCGGGCTGGGGCAGGAGGATGGAGGCCCTCAAGGGGCAAGTCAGGTGCTCAGTAAGGACACCCAGACCTCTCAGCCACCCACTTCCTTGTCTAGAGGAGGCCCCAGATACAGTTTCTCCATGTATTGTAGGCTTTTCTTTGGCCAAAGAAGCCATTTACCCTCTAGACTACTGTCTTTGCTAGAGACAGAGACAGTCTCTGTGGCCAAAGATAATGGTGAAGTGAACCCAGAAATTCTATGACAGAAAACAGGCTAATCGTTTCCAGTTCTGATTGTGACGTCATCGCTTGACAGATGTGGTTAGAGCAATGCTCTCGAGGCATCAAGAGCACACAGGATGCCACCAAAGGGCATGAGTGGATGGACAAATACCAGTTCCACCACACTGGCACATTAATCTTTTGGCTCTCACTGTTTATTACCTCTAAGGCTGAGGAGGGAGGATTGCTTGAACCTGGGAGGTGGAGGTTGCAGTGAGCCGAGATCATGCCACTGCACTCCAACCTGGGCAACAGAGCAAGACCCCGTTTTAAAAAAAAGTTGTAGAATTCAACACCTACTTTTAACAGATCAACCAGACAAAAGATCAATAAGGAAAGAGATCACACCACTGTACTCCATGCTGGCGACAGAGTGAGACTGTCTCAAGAAAAAAAAAAGCTGAAATGCTAAATTTTATGTTGTATGTATTGTGTACTTTATAAAACATTGTTGGAAGAAATTAAAGACGACCTAAATAGGAAGACATCCCACGATCACGGGTTGGAAGTCTTAATATCATTAAGATGCAATACTCCAAATCAATCTACAGATTCAGTGTAATATCTATCAAAATCCCCAATGGCATTTTTTGGCAGCTATAGAAAAGCCCATCCTAAAATTCATATGGAATCACCGAGGACCTCAAATAGCCAAATCAGTTTGAAAAAGAACGAAGTTTGAGGACTTGCACTTCTTGATTTCAGAACTTACTACAAAGCTATACTAATCAAAAACTGTCGTTCTGGCATAAGGAGAGGCATAGAAGTCAATGGAGTAGAATCAAGAGTTCAGAAATAAACACTGTATCTCTAGTTAATTGATTTTCGACAAAGTTGCCAAGATCTCTCAGCAGGAAAAAGAATGGTGATTTTTTTTTGGGGGGGGGGTTCTTTTTCATTTTGTTTTGTTTTGTTTTTTTGAGGTGGAGTCTCACTCTGTTGCCCAGGCTGGAGTGCAGTGGTACGATCTCAGCTTACTGGCACTATCTCGGCTCACTGCAACCTCTGCCTCCCGGGTTCAAGCAGTTCTTGTACTTCAGCCTTCCAAGTAGCTAGCTGTGTCTGCAGGCACACACCACCATGCCTGTATATATACACACACACATATATATATATATTGTTTTCTTTTTTTTTTGAGACTGAGTCTCACTCTGTCGTCCAGGCTGGAGTGCAGTGGCACAATCTTGGCTCACTGCAACCTCCACCTCCCAGGTTCAAGCAATTCTCCTGCCTCAGCCTCCTGAGTAGCTAGGATTACAGGCATGTGCCACCACACCCGGCCAATTTTTGTATTTTTAGTAGAGACGGGGTTTCACCATGTTGGTCAGGCTGTTCTCGAACTCCTGACCTTGTGATCCGCCTGCCTCGGCCTCCCAAAGTGCTGGGATTACAGGCGTGAGCCAGCATGCCCGGCCCAAAAACATTTTTTAAATGGGATTTGAATAGGCATTCCCACAAAGAAAGATATACAAAAAGATATACAGGCCGGGTGTGGTGGCTCACGCCTGTAATCCCAGCATTTTGAGAGGCCGTGGGTGATGCCAAGAATTTGAGACCAACCTGGCCAATGTGGAAAAGCCCCATCTCTACTAAAAATACAAAAATTAGCTAAGCATGGTGGTGCACGCCTGTAATTGAAGCTACTCAATGGCTGAGACACAAGAATCGCTTGAACCCAGGAGGCGGAGATTGTAGTGAGCCAAGATTATGCCAAGACACGGTAACTCAGTTTCAAAAAAAAAGAAGATATACAGGCATTCATACAAAAAATACATCTAGGCCGGGCGCGGTGGCTCAAGCCTGTAATCCCAGCACTTTGGGAGGCCGAGGCGGGCGGATCACAAGGTCAGGAGATCGAGACCATCCTGGCTAACACGGTGAAACCCCGTCTCTACTAAAAATACAAAAAACTAGCCGGGCGAGGTGGCGGGCGCCTGTAGTCCCAGCTACTCAGGAGGCTGAGGCAGGAGAATGGCGTAAACCCAGGAGGCGGAGCTTGCAGTGAGCCGAGATCGCGCCACTGCACTCCAGCCTGGGGGACAGAGCAAGACTCCGTCTCAAAAAAAAAAAAAAAAAAATACATCTAAATGGAAAGATGCTCAGCATCATTAGTCATTATAGGTAGTATAAACAAAAACCACAATGAGATACCACTTGATACCCATTTGAATGGTTGTACTATAAAACAAAACCAGAAATAACAAGTGTCGGCACCAGTTGCAGTGCTGCACACCTGTAGTCCCAACTACTCGGGAGGCTGAGGTGGGAAGATCACTTGAGCCCAGGAGTCTGAGACCAGCCTGGGCAACATAGTGAGACCCTGCCTTGTAAAACAAACTAACAAACAAAAACAAGTATTGGCAAGAATATGGAAAAATTGGAGCCCTTGTACATACACTGCTGGTGGAAAGGGAAAATGATGAAGCTGCTGTGGAAAACAGTCTGACGGTTCCTCAAAAAATTAAACATAAAATTACCAGATGACCCAGCAATTCTGCTCCTGGGTATATTCCAAAAAACATTACAAACAGATACCCAAATAAGTACATGGACATATATGTTCAGATGTACTGTTCACCATCACCAAATTGTACAATCCCAAATGTCCATCAATGGATCAATAAACAAATCTTAGTATTTAATGCCTGTAATCCTAATACTTTGAGAGGCCAATGCACACGGATCACTTGAGTTCAGGAGTTCAAGACCAGCCTAGACAACATGGTTGAAACCTCGTCTCTACCCAAAAAAAAAAAAAATTAGCCAGGTGTGGTGGCACCAACCTGTAGCCAGCTACTTGGGAGGCTGAAATGGGAGAATCACTTGAACCTGGGAGGCAGAGGTTGCAGTGAGCCAAAATAGCACCACTGCACGCCAGCCTGAGTGACAGAGTGAGACCTTGTCTCAAAAAAAAAAAAAAAACTTAGTATTTACATAGAATAAAAAGAAATAGATTACTGTGTGAGTTACAATGTGCATAAGCCTC